TTTTAGAGTGAATTGATCGGGTTTATTCGAGTGTGAGCGGTTTTTTTTGGGATCACGGCTTAAATGAAACCACCGAGGAGCGTTGGAATTAAGGGATAAGTCCAAGTTACCATATTTAAATACCCCTGTTAAGCCTCGGGGTACGTTCCTTAACTGAAATAAATTTAGGTAAATTGCGGACAAGAATAAACTATTGCGAAAAATTGAAATATAAAAGTAATATGATATGACGTCTTTGACGTTGATTTGAGGGGATATATATATGATCTTTAGTCTCAGAATCCTTTTTTTAAAGGTTGGAGATTTGAAATTTTGACATTAAACTGGGTGTAGAGTATCACTTTGATTTAAGACACAACAAAGATTTAAGTCTTCAGCTCAAGCATAGCTCGGAATCCCTGCCCGGCTTTGGCTATACTTTTTGTCTTTTGGTTAATAACCTCTTCAATTTTTAATAAAATTTGGATTTTGAAATATTTTGGCTTCGAGCATCACTGAAAAGACATTTATTGTCGAAATGCGAATCTGGTGCAGTAAAATTGGTTCCGTCCATATTATATTTATAGAGATGAAAGCTATACCAGAGTTAGAAACCGTGCCTAGCGACAGCTAACAACATACAAAAAAGAATACGAAAATATTTCAATGAAATAAATACATTGTATAGAAAAGGAATATCAAATAAAACTGAAAAAAATATTACAATGAAATTAAAGATGATAGGAATATCAGGTAATACTGAAAAAAATATTACAATGAAATTAAAGATGATAGGAATATCAAGTAATTCTGAAAAAAATATTACAATGAAACTAAAGATGATAGGAATATCAAGTAATACTGAAAAAAATATTACAATGAAATTAAAGATGATAGGAATATCAAGTAATACTGAAAAAAATATTACAATGAAATTAAAGATGATAGGAATATCAAGTAATACTGAAATAAGAAAATTATAGATGAATCATATAGATACGTTTTATTACTTCTTTAATTTATTTCAAAGCAAAATTTTGAAAATACTATTCAGGACCGATAACTCTGTCGATAAATATTGGTTGATAAACAATGTTGAAATGTATACAATAACATATTTTTGTACACAAGTTAAAATTTCAATATCGATTTTTTTTAATGACTGGATTTTGCTTAAAACATTGACATAAAAAAATATCAAATGAAGTCTCTTTTAATTTTCTATGAAATAAAAAAAAATCTATTAAATATAAAATTTGAATTAGAGTATTTCTTTAACACAATTATCGTGAAACATTAATATTTGTTGTTTTTTTTAAGCAAAAATCAACTTATCGAAGAATTTTCATAATATTCATATTTTCTTAAAGTTCTTTTTGATATATATTTCCTCGGAAGGGTAGACGGGAAAGAGAAAATATTTATTTTTACATTTCAGAAAACTTTTGTATATCACTAAAACAAAACTCTGGAAATACATGTGTACACAGGATGTTAATGTCACCTGATGGCTTTTGGTTTGACACGATTCCTTTACATTACCTGACAATTTGTTGTTATGTAACTTTATAACCTAAATCCAAGTTCACCTGTTCGTATATTGATCATGCAAGGGATTTTAAATTTAAAAGGTACAGAGCATTTATCTATTGTTGGGCATTTTTTTTCTCTCGAGACGAAAATATTTTTTCTTAAAAGAATATATATTTTTTTTCTAAATTAAGATAAATTACAAAGAAAAAAGGGAGAAAAAGTAAAAAAAAAAAAAATAAAGAGAAAAACAATTCTCTATAAATTTCAGTGTTAACTATTTTTTCAGAGACATATATACACATATATGTCTCTGATTTTTTTCACTTCACACTTGAATTTTTTTTTCAAGAAATTTTGAAATCAAACATGCCAAATTATCAACAGAGAAAATAACAGAAACAGTACAAATTCTGCATGAAAAATACACGATGCTTTAAAAAACATGCGACACTTCCAAACACATCCGCCATTTTGAAAAATTCCGAAAAAATCTCTTTTTTAAATCGATGTGGGACGTAATTTGTCCTCGATTTAAACTGTTTTAAGTAGAATATTTCGCTAGATATATGTTTTAATATTCTCAATCGAGTTGCAAAGTATTACTTTTAATTACCGAATTTGTGAATTTGATGTACAAGTAGACATGGGGTCGCTAGAATTACCATTGAGTCAACGGGCAAATGACGCGAAACAGTACGATTTTTACGAATCTCCAGGGACGTAATTTAATCAAAAATTAAACTGTCAGAACCAATATTTTTAGGTAGAATTATGTTCGAATACCAAGGATATAGTTGCAAAAATTAGAAAACGGGTCAGAATAATGAGAAAATTGAACTTCATTGAAGCACCTATGAATTTTATATGGGACAAAATGACACAAAATGGCGGCTTTGCTACGTCACCAAAGTCACGTGAATCTTGCTTGGTTGGATATGTTGTTTCATTTTAAAGCCTCTACTATATGTAAACATCTCTTTATACTCGCTGCTTTGACTGTTATGCATTGATAGTATATAAATAACAGAGCCAAAAGAGCACAAAACATGAAAGGTTCATTCTTTTTTTTTATATACGCCATTAAATAATTTGGCGGTAAATGATTTTTCTCTCTATACTTTTCATACATTTAACATTTGTACCTTTTTTCTTTCAAAAATTATGAAAAATATCACGGATTTGATAAGTTTTTCAAAAATGGCTTTTTAAACCTATATGTAATAAAATTATCAAAAGAAAAGTAAGGGTTAGCAGGCCTTTTAAATTTTTAATGGCACTTCATGGATAAAAACAGAGTATTTCGAATATCTGACAAGGTCAGTGGACATCTTTAAGTGTTGTGTGGTGTTTCATTGACTGTTGTTTGTCTGTTCATATTAATAATTTTTGCTATAGGATTCCTTCTTCAACATTTTGTTTTTGATTGCCCTTTTGAAATTCATTTGGGTTAGCTTTTCTAACTATTTTTGGCCGGACCATTAGGTATAGATTAGGTGACCGAATCGCAATCTCGGCGAATATGTTATTAAAATTGCAACTTTAATGGACACAGTAGTCAGTGTGTGTGTGGTAAATAAACACTGTTATGTTTCTCTAAAATAGACACTTTAAAAAGCAAAAATGATAAGCAAGACAAGATCATCAAATAAGTAAAATGGCCGAAATTGTCAGATAACTCCTCATTATTAACATACTATGCATGAAATCATAACGATCAAAAAGAATTCTTTATTCGACCTCGCCTAGTATAAAAGGGTCCGAAACAGACGTCACCATATACACGGTGTCGTTTGAGAAGGCAGGTGTCCCTTTATGATCAGACATGACAAATATCTCGAATACGACACATTCAGATCATCATATTAATGACAATAGCAATAATCTTCGTGTACGCGGCCGTGTTCAGTTCTTCTACAAGACACTTTGGAATTTAATTACTCCGAACAACACTGTCTCATTTCTAAATGTAAAACCAAAAACTGCAAAACCTGTAAAAGTTTAATAACAAATGTTCAATATGCTAGCAATTTAACTAAAAAATCTTATTTAACCAGACGCTAGGATGAGCTGAATTGTAAATCAACAAATATCGTCTACGAATTAGAGTGTAACGTACCTTAGCTGAAACGAAAGGAACTTAGGCTCAATAAACGTACTTGTGTCAGACCTTAACAACAATGCAAATGACATTCTTTAACAGCATTTTATTCAGCCTGATCATTTCTATGCAAGTTTGCACATCGAAAAAATATACCACAGGGCTAACAATCCTCTTATTGCAACACCTCTCTGTACACAAAAGGAAGATTACTGAATTCGAGAATTGGAAGCTGCGACACCATATGGTTGCAATGACAAAATTGATGGTATAGGTATTCCATTTAGTCCTTCCTTTTCGATACTTAGACATAGATTTTGACACGAATTGAGAAAATGTATGTATAATGTGAATGTTGTCCTTCAAAGTATCTTCTTGAAGACATATACATCAAATGAAGCTGATAAATATGCGAACATGAGTCATATAATAATCCACTATTGAATAAATTTGGAACAAAAATACAATTTTAGATAAACCTATACAGAAAGTTAAAACAGGAGATAAGTAAAAAAATACTTTTCTTCCTCTTATCAGTGAAATTCGAATAACGCATCCCATTATTACCGTACACCATATTTCAAGCTATAGACGTATTTACACTTTTACGAATTTGTTGACCGATACGTTACCGATACGTTACTGATACGTTACTGATACGTTACTGATACGTTACTAATTCATTTTCATCACCTTAGCAGCATTTTTTTTGACTTTACGGATTTTTGTGAAGTTTAGGTATTAAAGAAAAAAAACAAGGTAAATCTTCAATATTTGTTGCTTAATGGAATGTTCAATGAGGTCTGAAGGACCTGTGATATGCAAGGATCTCATCATTATCAAAATGTTTTGTATATTGGATTTCCCGAATGTTATTCAAAAGTTTTTTATAAGAAACTTGAAGTTATAGGAATTACAGGTTAAACAATATTGTTTGCAGCTTTTCCGCAGGAGCAACAACATATTTATCGTGAAGAGAAGATAAATGTTTCTTTGTCTCTGAATATAAACTGAAGTCGATCATTTACACAGTGGTTTTAACTTTTGGATTTGACATATAATCAAAGACCTAATTTCTATCACCTATTCTGACAGAGTGACTAGTTCAAATGTTTTCCAGTTGTCTATGCTTTGGCGTAGTCCTTCACGGAATTCATTATTATCTTAAAGCTATGGTCCCAACTGATTTGTTGCGGTCAGTCTAAATTTATGACCATGTTGAATTATGTTTAGATGCAACTATTTGTCAAAGTATGTTTGTTCCGCCTTAGAGATATTCCTCTGAAAACTTTGTTAAAAACGATGTTAGGATATATGTTTTTGTTGGAACTCATACACTATACCCTATTTAGATAGCAGCCCTTTCTAACGTTTTCTTTTACGACAAATTCTATTCTAGAATATTTCTTTCATTTAGGACTATCAATATAATGGAACAGCTATTACATGCCAACTTGAGGTTTAACGCTTGAATAAAATAAACCATACCATTTCTGTTACTACATGTACAAAGTACTGCAATAATTAATATTAAGAACAATGATACTGCCACCAATCCAATCACGGCGTATATAATAATGTTCTGATCTTCTTTATCTAAAAATAAGCATTTAATTTTATTTATATCACTACTGTAATAAAAAATTACCAAAGATACTAGGTTAATAATTTGGAAAACAAAATACATTTTAGTCTTAAACGGCTAATTAGATCCTATGGCCAACTGGAACGTCTGAATCTGAAAACGTTAAGGATGTTTGCTCCTCTTGTTTTTGAATTTTTGCCAGATTTTCGGAATCCTCTGGTTTTATCCATGTATTGCCATTAAAAAATTTTGCCCACTAACCCCTACTTTTCTTTTCATAATTTTATTACATATAGTTTAAAAAGCCATATTTCAAAGTCTTATAAAATCCTTGTTATTTTTTCATAGTTTTTAAAACAAAAATGCGGCCAACGTTAAAAGAATGAAAAATCTAGAGAGAATCATTTCCCGCCAATTTTTCAATGGCTTATATCTCGAAAACAAGCTCACGGACCCTTCATTTGTTTCTACTTTTTTAGTTCCTTTATTTATATACTATCATTTTAGAATAGTCTTTTAAAAAGCTTGTTATTTTGAAACAGAGTAGCAAACATCCTTAAGTCTTGATAAGAGTTTTAACTTTTTTTTAGATGTTTTCTTGTTGTACTGCTCAGACTATTGGCTTGTATCCAATCCATATAGATTTGTTGATTTGTACAGGTAAATAACAACTTCTAAACTGTTTAAATGTAAACTGAATATATCTTAATAAAATAGTATGTGGATAAGAATAAAAATTTACTGAAATATTGAACATAACCTATGAAAAACTCCAGAAAAATGCATTCCTAATGGAAATAAAATAATTAATATCAACGAACCACCAGTAATATAAGTGCTTCAATATATTCACCCTGCTTTAGAATTCCGTGTGGTTGCTTAAATATGTCATTGCAGTAAATACTAAGCTAGTTTTTGGTTTTAGATTAAAATCAATACCTATTTCAAACAACCTAACATGTGTCTGAAATATGCTTCTTCTCAAATTGGGGCCTTTTATAGCTTGCTATGCGGTAAAAGTTTTACACATTGTTGAAGGCCGTACGATGACCATTAGTTGCTTACTTCAAAAGTCTCTAATGGAAGGTTGTCTCTTTGGCAATCACATCATATCTTTTTATTTTTTCATTAATCAGGAACTCCTGAAACTAAATATAAAATCAATTCGGTGTATTCTATCATAATTACTTTATATGCGTGTTTCATAAAAATCCGTAATTTTGATTGGCTTACACTGCAAGGCACTCCAATATCATATTTTATTTCTGTTAAAAATACAACAGCTATGAATGCACGTGCTATCCATGACAATGTTAAAAAAATGCATTTAAAAAACAAACGAAAAGCTTCATATAACTCTTATTGTTATGGTTGTAGCATAAAAATGTAAAATAAGAATTGTATGCTTCTTTTATTAATTTTATACGGGTGTAAAAGCGTTGATCGTGTGCACACTTTTAATTGAAGCGCCGAAAGCGCTTCATTCAACATGTAGTTCCGTCAACGAATTTAACCCTCAATAAAATTATAAAAAAAAGCGTTCTTAAACATATTTTTCATTAGTTTTTAGTTTACATATTTCCTCCTGATTATCAAACTCAAATACGTATGATCTCAAGAAACAATACGAAAAACAAATGACAGTATCAAACATAACTTACCATTAATTGTCAGCTGCAAGCAAACTGATTGAGGTACTTTGTTATTGAACAGATGACTAACATCACAACAAAGATTTTGTCTACTTTTGTCAGACGATGGTACTAAGTTCAATGTACCAGTTACTGAATAACTTCTATCAATAACATCATAATACTGTACAACGATAAGCTCGTTGGTGTAATATAGGTCTTGAGTTCTCATGGAAATGGTCGGAGCAGGGTATCCATTCATTGAAGAACAAGTCCATTTCCCTGAGGATCCAGAGATCAGGTTGGTAGGTCCAGTCAGGATTGGGACTTTTGGGGAAACTTAAATGACAAGATAAAGGAATATTATATTATCTTTACATTATAAGAGTTCACCAAATAAATAAGAAAATAACTATTTAAAAGTAGTTATCAGTTGAAGTGAAAATCACGATTAGGAATATAACGACTTGATCTTACAACCCGAAGCAGGGTAAAGAATTTAGGAAGCAGTAGTTGACCGATTTTCAGATCTCAACTGATATGAACTCCAAAAGGAACAAGACCGTGTGCATCGATGGGCTAAGTGTCTCCTGCTATGCAAGCACCATCCGCCATTGGACCCACACTAGTTAGAATGTTACAATCAGGAATTAAACACAATCGGAATGATGCCATATTAAGCGACTATTCTGATATCTAAAATTATAAGACATGTCGTAGTTAGTTGAGACACGAATTCGTGATTCAGAGCTAATAAATTATGTGGTGTCGATTTCAGTCGTTCTTCTTCACAACTATTTTTCTTTGATAGCAGCACAAAGAAGTCCGTATAGAGTAAAAATGCACGAACGTAGAGTATCAATTGAGATATGTAAACGACTTACGATTGGAAAGAGGGTATGTTAATGCAGAGAATGAGAACATGTCGATAAGAAAGTTGAAGTCATCACGTTTGTCATATATTCTTTTGAGTCGTCGATCTGTGTGACGATCGGAAAAAAACTCAAGATATCAGACAGACTTTTGGTTGTATCCTAAATCACAAGTACTCGGGAATATTTGAGACGCCAGCACTCATTGAGTGACAGGACATCATTAATTTATCTGAAAGTGACATTAAAGATGACTTTTCTTTTTCCTTTGTTTTAAAGAAAAATTGCAACTAAATGTGTTGTTTTTCTATTGTAGTTGATGTGTT